GTCATATGAGTAATAAGATTTGAATTCATGCTCATGTAAATTATAAATTTTTTTTAATTAATCCGAGCATGACAAAAAATCAAATTCAAATCAATTAAAAAGATAGGATGACGTGATTCGTCAATCAAATTTTTATATATACTTAAATTATTAAAATAAAATCTTATATGTTTAACAAGTAATAATTGGATTTATATGTTGAGATAAGAACACTACTACAAAATATGCTATTTTTGTCTATTTTAGATATATTTTTTTGTCTATTTTGAGAGAAACATTAACTAAAGAGACGTAGATAGTGTGTATTTATTCGCCTGTCTTGTCAAAAGAGAGAAAATAGTGCTCTTATATTTGTCTGTTTTGGTTAAAACATATAAATATAAAAGTCTATATTCGTTTATTCTGACTTGAAAAGATGAATATAAATAGCTATATTTGTCTGTTCTAGTCAGAACAAACAAATATATTGACGTTTTTTAAAAACAGAAAAATCATTTGTATTGTCAGTATGCATGTATATATTTGTCTGTTACGCTCTCGTAACAGACAAGTATGTACATGCACACTCGTTTGTTCTTCTATAACAGACGAGTATAATGGTCTTTTTTTTCTTCTATTTTGAAAAATAGATAAATATGAAAAATAAAAATGACTTTCTTTGTAGTAGTGGAACCTAATTACAAGTTAACTAGAGATCATGCTATCTAATTAGATTGGGTAGCTGTAATTTAATTAAAAAAATTGAACACTAGGATAATGTTTGTCTGATCACAAATATTTTATTGTTTATATTGGAAACGTTTAATCATATTCATGATGCATGAATAATAATAATACCAGAAAGATGTGTACGAATTCTTCATTGTTTGGCAGGTGTGCTTTCTATGTGTACAGATGACAAGATGCCTTTTTTCCAAGTTATTATAATTATTGATCTCGCCAAAATAAATGTCATAAATAGCATCACAATTTCAGATAAAAAAATATAATCATAATCCTCCTAAATCTGAATCATATGTTGAACTTAAATATTCATCTAATATATTTATCATAAAGAACTTTCAACATGTTTTGTCGTAGATTAAGATGGTGTTCGGGTAAGAACAAAACCATAATTTCAAAAGTGCTTTTACGATATACGAAGTAAATATATATAGGAGTTTGTCTCGATTTGAGAAAAGTACTTCTAAAAAGTGATTATGGGGTGTTCCAAACACTCCCTAAGAAAAACTTAAACCATGTAAATTTAGATAAAATTGTAGTTATTTATTAACTAAGTCTCCTAATGATAAGTACTCGTAATTCTACTTGTAATTAGTTTTGTCTTGAGCGGTAAATAATGGTGAATATCATTCGACTTTTAAATTTGTATTATTTTAGTAGCAAATATTTACAGTTTGACTCATAAATTAGTGTTATATGTGTGGTGAATTTGGGGGTCTTTGAGAATAAATAACTTCTGAATTTGATATTTAAAATTAATTTTTTCTAAACTTTATAATAAATCAAAATATTCTTAACGGAAATAAATCCTCATTATTCAGACTTTATGCAAAACATGTAGGATTTAAATTTAGTTTTATTTTAAGTAAGATAATGACTTCTCATTGATAATTGGGGTCATGATCCTTTAATATTTAGGGATCAATGGCTGTCATTATTAGTACCTTGACGTTACTTATTTTAATAATGTAACTATCCGCATTATGTACTGAATTATTATTATTTTTTGTCTATGAAAATTCTAAAATCTAAACTTATAAAAATTTGGAACGTACTGCGTTAAGAATATTGTGGGCTTTAAGATTAGTTAGAAATAAAACTTAGCAAGAAGACGATTTAAAAACATGTCTGATAAAATTAACCAAAAGAATGAAATGTATGCATGGATATTATAATTATAATATACTGAGTAATGGTTGATTAATTAGGATTAAGGTCTAATTTTGCTCAGAAAGTTTCTACGTAAAAGCTTTGAGGATCCAAAAATTTTTATTAGATTAATATCATCCTAAAAGTATTAAAAAAATAAGTAAAATTGCCTTAACCATTTAAAAACTAATGTTAACCGTTAACATTTTTAACAATAAAGAGTAATATTGTTTATTTTTTATTTAACACTTTTGAGATAATATTTAATCTGATAAAAGCTTTTGAATACTCAGATTTTTCATACTAAAATTTTTGGAACAAAACAAGACATCAACGCAACTAATTATGATGACAAAAAGAATGACAATGAATGGGCAAGTGGGATTGATGAGCGATTCCATGCCGTTTTGTTGGGTTTGTTATCACATACTTCAAATTTGAATTGTCATCACTTTTATATAATTGATCTTTTCTATAAACAAAAAGAAAAAAAAGAATTGTGATCACTTAATTGGAGTTAATAATTCCTAATCTTTTGTACGTCTGAATTGTCCAAGGTAGTCATCTTTCGTTGTCATACCATACACATAGGCATGCACTCTCTCTAGGTTGTTTATAACAATCAATAATATCTCACCAAATTTCATGGGCTTTTTATTAAGGTTGGGGATACCATCATCCTCATGATGCCAGGGCGACTTTAAAGCGATTTATATAGGAATATTTATTTGTATTGCTCAACATTTTTTAAGCGATTTCTTTTAATAAAAATTTTATGTGAGTTGGATTTTAAATACTTAGTATAAGGATTTGTATTTAGACTTAAAACAATAGTACCTAGAAAGTTATTTACAAATTACTTACCAGTGAGATTGTATATCAGCAACAACATCTGAATTAATTCTCATGTAAACTATGAATTATATTTTTTTTATTAATCCGACCATGACAAAAAAAATCAATTTTAAATCAATTAAAAAGATAGGATGACATTCCTCATCAATCAAATTTTTATATACACTTAAATTATTACAATAAAATGTTATATGTTTAATAAGTAACTAATTGCCTTTATATGTTGAGATAAGGACCTAATTACTAGTTAACTAGAGATCATGCTAGCTAATTAGATTGGGTAGTCGAAATTTAATTATAAAGATTGAACACTAGGATAATGTATTGGAAACGTTTAATCATATTCATGATGCATGAATAATAATAATAACCCAAAGATGTGTACGAATTCTTCATTATTTGGCAGGTAAGCTTTCTACGTGTACAAATGACAACATGCCTTTTTTCCAAGTTATTATAATTATTGATCTTACCAAAATAAATGTTATAAATAGCATCATAATTTCAGATAAAAGAAATATCATCATAATCCTTCAAAATCTGAATCATATGTTGAACTCAAGTACTTATCTAATACACTTTTTTATTATATTATAAAGCACCTCGACATGTTTTGTCATAATTAAGGAAAAACTTAAACCTGGTAAATTTTATCTTAAAATCTAATAGCTTTTTAACTTTTCCTTTATTGGATATATACTTTAATGGCTTGTTCCCATTAATAATGAATGAAGGGTACAAATATATATATTTATATAAAAAAATTTAATAATGTAATTTATAAATTGAATAAATTAACACACACTTTCTCTAGACCTTATAAGTAAGATTAGGGGAGTAAATCAAGAGGAATAAACTGTCAGTCAATACAAATAATTACGCAATGTTTGATTAAAATCACGACTCAATCAAATTAATGGAACTAAATTCAAATTGTCTTTGTTGGGTCGAAGGGCAGTAGAAGGAAGTCCTCTTAATAGTCTTATATGGGGTTTGTGAACATTGAACATTGTGAAAAGATTTGTGAGAATTAAAAGGAAAATGAAAAGTTGATGATGATAGGAATAATGATTGTGATGAAGAGAAGATAGGTACGTATCAGCCGCATGAAATTATTTCTTACAATACGACGCCACAAGAGCACAAAAGTTGTCGTCTGAGGCTCTGAATTGAGTCGGTTTGGATGATATGAATGCATAAGCCTCCAAAACTAAAATAGTGGAATTCATCCTCATTACCTCACTAATCTTGTGCACCGAAAAGCAGTGTTATTTTCGATCAAAATAAAAGAAGAGAAGGATAATGTTATACTCCTCCGGTCCTTAATATAAGATTCATTTAACTAATTTAATTAGATTAAAAAAATTAGGTAAGTTAGTTAATTAAAAGAAATGTGACACATTTTTTTCCTAAAATACCATAATCATCTTTCTTAATACTTCCTCTTTTTCTTCTATTTGATTATGGTTGAGAAAGTATCCATAGGGGTAATTTAGAGAAAATTGATAAATATGATAAATGGATCTTATATTTAAGACCAAAACCAACTCAACAATTGGGTCCCATATTAAAAACCGGAGGAATATATATATATTCAATGCGAGTCATGATTAATGAGAAGGCTCTGGTTAATCTCAATTCCTTAATCCATGGATACTTCTTCAACCTTGGCTGGCTCTAGTTATTAGATCTGACGCATGGTTTGGTCGAGAGAGAGGGAGAGGCAGAGAGATATTTTCCAACAGTCGAGACATATTGCATCACATATTCACATTCCCTTTGAAAGGGGGAAAATCGACACGCTATACAAATGATGATTAATAATCAGTTAAGTTATTTTAATTTGATGTTAATGTTGAAAAAGTGCCATCTTTTTAAATGTTATTTAGGAAATGGGGTCTGGTCTTGATTGTATTGGGCTCAAAGCGAGCTAATTGCCAGTTAGCAATTTTGCTTAAATATATTTTATGTCCCAATATAAAATAATGCAGAACTTGCCTTGACGTTGCCTCCGAGCGTGGCGAAACACGAGCTACAGACCTTAGATATCACTGGGCTCCACGTTTTCATTTTGAATCGGGATTTCTTGTATACTCCACCAAAGAATTGATATAGGTTGATCTTTTTTTTTTTCTGGTGAGTCAAAAATATAAGTTGTTTAAACTAACCTTATAACGAATAAATAAAAAAAATTATACAAATTTGAGAAAATTTCACTTCATCCCCCAAATGTCAAAACTTTTGCAATACCGTAATCCGATGCACTGGGAGTAGAAGATTAGGAAAGGAGCATATTGAAATCGAATTTTTCACATCATGTTTAGAGCCATTACAAACACAAGCGAATTACAAGCTCCTTAACAAATTTAGCAATCATGTTTCTACTCGTTTATTATGGCCTGAATGAGCAATATACTGAACATATGAAGACATATAACACAGCCAAAAACAAATCTGTTGCTGTAATGCCAAAAAAGTAGAACTTTCCAGAGAAAGAAAAATTCCGAGAACTTGCAAGTCTCCCACTGAAAGAACTACTTCTTTCAAAACTAAATACTACTGACCAGAACTGAAATTTAATTTATGATACACTTCCCCGTCATCTTTCAAAAAGGTACTTCGGCAGGCTCTGGCTCTAACGCGCGCAATAAAGGTTCTTGCAACTCAGGGTTGACGGGAAACAGATTACATTGAGCATATTGTGCCATCAACTGATCCGCAAGAACCAAAGCCACCATGGCTTCTACCATTGGTACAGCTGCATTGACAGTCCATTGAACAATACATCAGAAAGTGCCTTTTCTCCAAGCAAGAGTGGTGGTAAACAAAAGGTGAAAATATGCCTTGTTATAAATCCTAATTATCCTTTCTATTATTTTGTCGCCGTAAGAAACTTATTTGCCCTTTCAGATCAACTGATCAAGTGATAACTCACCTTTCAGCGAACCGATCTTAGCAGCTTTAATAAATTACTTTTCTTTTATCAAGAAATTATGAAAAAGAATTAGAAATTTTTTTTTTAAGTGTGGACAGATTTTTTTTTTTTTTTTTTTTTGGGGTGATAGATTAAAGCGTGGATAGATTAATACCACTGGAAGGATGAAAAAAGTAAGAGTTATTTACCTCTTGGGACAACACAAGGATCATGGCGACCACGAGCTATTAGCTCCGTTTCTTTCTTATCTCTGGTCACTGTATGCTGTTTTTTCTGCACAAGGGTCAATAGGTGTCACATTTCCTATCACAAGTTCAGAACATTACTATGATACCAGCTAAAAAATGGGGAAGGAAAAAAGGGTAGAAATGGCTTGTTTTGCTTCCATTTTATTGCCTACAGGCTGTTTCCACTTCATTTATTTACAAATACAATAGAGGTTATAAATGGAATTGGAATATCTAAGGTGAATGTTTAAATAAAAATTTAACATAGAGAGATAATAATTGGTATGATCATTTATGGTACCATAACAAGTGAGATAAAATAATACCAATGCATCGCTCAGAACAGATCTTCAATCCCAGGGGAAAAGAGGGGACAGCAGTATTGAATAAATCATTTTTTCACCTCGTTGAATAAATCAATTATGACAAATGAATTGATAAAGAACATTAAAAACTCCTAATGTGCCACTTCCAAGCAAGTCAAAAGCACGGTTTCACACTTTCACAAAGGCATATTTACCACATATACAGTAATTTGAAAGATATCAATCAGACGATCGTGTGCCTGTGTAGTGAACTACAGACAGTGCTTGGATGCACGGCTATGCTAGTCAAAAGCACGCCTTAATACTTTTTCCATTTAAAGCATGAAAAAGAAAAACACTCATTGTACCACATTGAGTTTCTCTGTATGGTAAAAACAACTTAAAGCGCTTCAAGGCATTGTGCTTTTGATGTCCACTATTATACTTTGCCGACATTTTTGTTTTGTGAATTTTCTGTCAGTTTCTTGGACCTTTTACTGTACAAGTAATGTTAATCAAATCCAAATTGTTCAATAAAACATTGAGAAAAAAGCAACGGCATCATCTGCTTATTCTCAGCGGCATTTTACGATATTTTGATAAGACCCAACCTCCTATTGTCACTAGGACAAACGGAGAGGGACATAGGGACTATTGATAAGACCCAACCTACCACCGCCACTAGGACATACAGTGAGGGACAGAGGGAGAGGCAAAAAGGCAGAAAATGGGGATCTATAGGTCCAAAGGAAAACATAGGGGTTAGGCGTCAGAAAAAGCAGAAATCGGGCGGCAAAAAGATGAGGGCTTCATGATGAATGGATGAATGTCAGCAGGATGCATAAAAAAGAAGAGCGGGGAAGAACTTTGAAAGTGTGGCTTGGGCCTCCAGGTGGAAAGTGCCAACCTCTCAAAAGTTTGGCAAACCTGTTTTGTTTTTAGACAGTTCGCAGTGTCTGTGTGTGTGACTTGTATGTCTTGTTCATTGTTATTTGTTAGTGTAGTAATCTGAAGTTACTGCGTAGTATATAGCTATGAGGTTTAAAATTATCCACTGTAATGCTTAAATTATCAACCATAGATGTATGGTATCAAAGAGGAGCTATCAAGCTACATTCTTGCTAGACACTGACCCTTTTCAACCAACTCTCCCTTCTAATAGCCTTATGCACATTTATGTTCACAGGCATGAATTCGTCCCCCAATGTGAGTGAGGTGAGATTCACAAGTACAGGAAAAAATAAATATTTGGCTTACTCCAATGGTAGAAGTTGGCTTGAAAGCTATTCTCATGTTTATGATCTCGCCATTGGAAATTCCACCCTAATTGTCAACACAGATAATAGGTTAGCACACCATATATTATTAGACCATCATACTGCACACAAAGAAACAACACACGAGAAATTATAGAACATAAGAAATACCTGAATCCCGCCAGAGCGGTTGGTTCTTGTTCTCATCTTTCCATGCTGATCTACATAAAACTCATCATTGTGTTCGCTGCCAGTCAAAAAAGTACCTGAAATAGTTTCATTAAGCCATCAGAAGACCTATGATACAAGGACAGAAAGAAATTACTAAACTAGAGTCTATTCATTCAGATAAGTCTGTAAACTTAAAAGGACAAAGGCGATGAGAGAGATATATAGGAAAGCTGTGCAACCTGCAAACCCACTGCCAAACTGGAAGCCCTTTGTAGCCGGCAATGACATAACAGCTTTAGCCAGCTCAGCTTCAAGTTTGTCAAATACAGGTGAACCGAGACCCTGATAAATAGCAATGTCAGCTCTTCTCCATGTGGAAATACAAGATAAATTTAATGATATGACACAACATGTGGAAGAAAGGCTTCAGGTTGAAAGGATAGTTCTTATAAGGTGTCCGGCACGCAAGAAAACATACATTAAGGCAATTTTTATTTTAAGGCTCTAAAGTCTAAACACACTGTCCATTTGCTGGCCCAAAAAAAAAAAAAAACCACACTGTCCATTTCTTTTATTACGTTTCAAATAGCAAACGCGTCAAGGACATTCCTGAATCATGCAAGTTAACAGAATACCAAATATTAGGGCCAGAAGACGTCAAATGACTTGGGAATCATAACTTCTTTTCTATTAGGGGTAATAAAACATGCCGCATATGTAAGGAAAGTTCTTAAGTTCCGCTGGATGGCTAAGGGCATAGAAAGTCCAGGTCCAATTTAGGCCCAAAGTTCACTTTATTCCAAGTCTTTTGGAAGTTTTTTTGTCACATGCCTGTAACTTATGAGTTTCTAAATCAATGGGTCAATTATTTTCCATTTGCGCTATAATTATATTTGTATTTAAGATATTTGTACTTTTTATCATTTAAAAGTTTAAATATGCTTGAAATCCTACCCATTAGCTTGCACTGACAGTTCCCTTGAGGTTTTGATAGAAAAGATGAAGAGAGACTTACACGTGGACAATTCCTCACGATGCATGTTACAACTCCACCAACAGAATCACCTTTCACCCGGACAGCATCAACGGCAGCTATCATCTTCTCAGCATATTCTGGGTCTGGGCATCGGACAATGTTACTTTCTATCTGGAACAATCTCCAATAAATGGCAAACAATTTCACAGTTAAAAAAAATACAAATAGCTAATAAGATATCTATATAATTTCATTACGGTGATGATCAGTCAATTTTCTCCCAGAAAAAAGAAATTTGTTGATTTCAGCGTGCAAATGCAAATACCGGAATTAGGTGCTTGAAAGCCAAATTAAATCACAATGACAATTTGAAATTTCTACTAAGCCAACTATGAAGGGGCGGCAGCCAACATGCTTTGAAATATATTGATGCTAGATAGGCACAGATTGCAAAATACATTCCAGCAAAGAGTGCATGTTGGAAAGCTCCTTTTTAAATTAATAAAGTAGGTGAGAGTGGACTTCTTCACAGGTTTGGTAAATGGTAAATCACTAACATAGAAATCCACAATTTTTTGGGCAGAAGAGGTTGGGGGGGTGTACATGTTTTAAAACAAAAACTACTCCATATAGTACAATGAGAAATCACTATTGAGGACATTACATGTATATTAAGTTTGATACCTGTTCAAGTGTCAGAGTGTCATGATCAATTAGGTCGTCAGGGAGAACAACATTGTGAACTTGAGAGACATAGGCAAGTACCTGAGTCATAAAATACCCTTTAGCCAAGGATATTGCTTGAGAAGTTGCCAATTAGAAAGAAGAAAAGCACATAAATCTAGGAGTGATAGGCTTGCTCTGATTGAATAGCATCAGCTATAGGCACATGTTAAAATTAAATTAACAAAGCCCAAATATTACAAGAGACATAGCAAAATTAAGGCTCAAACAAATTTTGATGTAATCTTTAGAAACTTATATTTTCAACGAGTGGAAGTGCATAAAGGAAGTACGAAACAACAAAAGAGGATGAAAATATTAATATAACGAAAAATAACACTTCCTTGTAACCAGCAATAAAAGAAGTTTCAGAACAAGGAAAATTAGTAGCATAGTCATAAACATCAATTCCTAATCACTCACAACAGATGCATGCGCCATTATGAGAGGAAACCATACTTCAGTGTTATTACACGCGATCAAAGGCATGCACATAATGAATAAAAGATCTGTTAATGTATTTGGTTGGGGGAGAGAAAGAGAAGAAGATCAGAGAACAGATGGAGATGAGAGAAGAGAGAGAGGCACAGTCAATCAATCCAAATAGTGCGACTTCATGATGGAAATCAGAAGGTACAATACGCTTCTCATTTATAGATGCCCCCTTCTAAGAGATACCAACAGATATAAATGAATCCTATCAACTTAAATCTTAACTAACAGTAGCAGCAACTAATTCCTTTCTTACTTGTTATTACATAACAACACAGGTCTAAGAGTCGTGCATGGCATGCCAAAAGCCCCCAAAAAAAAAAAAATTGCCTCAATGGAGGCCTAAGGGATCTTTCCAAGCTCCATGGTTGAACCTCTTAAGGCTTGTATCTTACGTATCAGTCATAGAATAAGATAGTCCTAGATCATTCGTGGGGTTTGCAATGAATGTTCCTAAAGGAATTACAAGAGTCATTATTTTTGTCCTAAATTCATTAAGTAGAATGCCCGACTCCATTTACTGTCTTCTGAATTACAAAAGAAAAATAAAACAATTTGCATGTGCAGCTAACTTAGCAGATTAAAAAAAAAAAAAAAAGGAAAATTGAAAAGCACGCACATGCCTGAATATATCTATCCAATGCAGTCATAACAACAACGATAATGATAATGAGAAACAGCTTAACATTAGAACCTCACTCAATTACATGCTCAAGTAACGCACCTCAGTTCCAGAAAACTCCTTAAGGATTTTCTTAGCAACAGCACCAGAAGCAACTCTTCCTATAGTTTCCCTTGCCGAAGATCTACCACCTCCCTTAAATGCAAACAGTTCATAAACATGAGCTTAATGAAAATTTCATGGAATAAAGCATCTCATTCATCAGTAATTCACATAGAATGCCACTGCTGCTGTGACATCACATTGCAAAACTTAGTACCTGCACTGATCTGACACCGTACTTCATATCATAGGTTGCATCTGCATGTGACGGTCTATAAGCCAATGACATCTCACTATAATCCTGACAATGACACGATACAATGGGGAAAAACTTTAAGCAAGGAAAAATACATTGAATATTACTCTCTGTGAACGTGTGAGTGATAATCAGAGAACACGATTGCTGCTGTTACAAGTAAAAGTAATTTATGAGGATTACAAAAACTGTTCTACATGTTAGTCCACATAAGTTCCCAGCCATCCAAAGTTTCTTCTCTAAATTGAAACGCCATTATAAAAGGCCATTCACAGTGCATATTTTGAACATTACCTTAAATTACAAATAGAAAAAGAGGAGAAAAAACAAGCCCATAGCCTTTTCCTTTCTTTAATAAATACTTCTCACACAAATATAAAATTAGCTTTAGCATTAGATACTCACATGTCCTCTTTGGTCAGTGTTGGGAACAAATACATGAATTGGCGTTCCAGTAGTAACTCCTGCAATGCACACATTATGTTTCAGATAATTTACATGTATCATAAAACTTCTAAGTTGATAATGATTGGAAGGAAGATTGACCTTCAGAAACTCCTGAAAATATTTTACACGTATCAGTCTCTTTTCTGGGAGTAGTAATTCGGCTCTGACCTGGCCTCCTATAAACATAAACTTTGAGAATTTATTAAAGAAATTTTGACTCAGAAGAATCATAACCAATGACTACTCATTACTGCTAAATTCCCTCTACAGGAGAAATGTTAGTCAAAAACTTCCATTGGCAAGTACCTCCTGTCAAGATCCTCTTGCATGTCCGCTTCGGATAGCGGTAAACGAGGAGGGCATCCATCAATTACGCAACCAACACCTCCTCCATGAGATTCTCCGTATGTTGTCACACGAAAATAATTTCCATAGGTACTACCTGCTGCCCGTATCTCTGTAATTAATCAGGGAATCAGTACAAAATATTGCTGGCATGAGTGCAAAATATTTTATATGATTCATCGACTTTCCCATTCAAGAATTCCACAAGTTCTGAAACTCTCATTTTGCTTGAATATGGTAGAAATTACGGCAGGCGGTATTCCTAGTAAAATATGTAAATCCTTCAATGAATTTGCATGCTAATATGATCATACGTGAAACTCCAATTCACATAAACATATATACGCAATTTTTTAAAAAGATTTTATGTAAAGTCTATAAAGCAATCGCATACTAAAAGAATATCACTAATGAGTAATGAGACAAATAAACCCAAACTATCCTCACTTCAACTACTTCCACTTTCAAAAAGTAAAGTACTGCGCCCTGAATAAACAGATTTACAAAATAAAATCGAAATTCAAGATGCCGAAGACAGGAAGACAGAGAGAGCTCACGCAGTCTCTTGGGAGCTCCGGGACGAACAGAGATTTGAACGACGGCGGAGGAAAGCTGACGGCCATCCGAATTGAAGGAAGAAAAAGTACCGGATAAGAATGACTTGGAAGAGATGGAGGAAGCCATTAGATCGCAGTGGACCGAGGAACAGGAAGGAGGAGGAGTAGAGAGAAAAGAAGGTTGTTGAGAGGTTGAAGGGCAAAATGTGTAATTATAGAAAAATCAGTCCTCACCTACCATCTCTGTTTTGCTCTGGTGTCTCCACCTCTTTCATCCCGAAACTTTATTCTTACCGAATTTTTCATTTCCAAAAATTAAAATTAAAATTACAATTACAAGTTTAATTTAGGGAAAAAGACAGGAAAATGCACCTCCAACTCCAAAAGCCCAGAAACGTCCGCTCAATTCCACAAATCCCATTTTGGTACCATGAGACCAAATTGGGATTATTATGTGAAAGGAAAAGACCACATTGCCCTTTATTTTAAATATTATTTTTAAAATATCACAGCCCCTAATGGCCGGCCGGTCACCGGACCTCCGGCAGCGGCGGTCACCGAAGCTCCGGCGACCAGCCGACAATTGGTCACCGGAGCTCCGGCGGTCGGATTTTTTTTTTTTGAAAATTTTTACAACTTCAATATAACGGTTAACAACTTTTGTAATGCTATTCACAACTTCAGTATAGCAATTAACAACAGCTTTTCTGGAAAATTCAACAAACTCCGGCGACCTGAAACAATTATTTTGAAAATTTTTACAACTCCAATATAACCGTTAACAACTTTTGTAATGCCATTCACAACTTCAGTATAACAATTAACAACAGCTTTTCTGGGAAATTTAACAAACTCCGGCGACTGGAAACAATTATTTTGAAAATTTTTACAACTCCAATATAACCGTTAACAACTTTTGTAATGCCATTCACAACTTCAATATAGCAATTAACAACAGCTTTTCTGGGAAATTCAACAAACTCCGGCGACCGGATACAATTTTTTTGAAAATTTTTACAACTTCAATATAACCGTTAACAACTTTTGTAATGCCATTCACAACTTCAATATAGCAATTAACAACAGCTTTTCTGGGAAATTCAACAAACTCCGACGACCGGAAACAATTTTTTTGAAAATTTTTACAACTTCAGTATAGCGGTTAACAACTTTTGTAATCCTATTAACAACTTCAGTATAGCGGTTAATAACTTCAGTATAGCGGTTGAAAAAACTTGTTGTTAACCGCTATATTGAAGTTGTTAATAGGGTTACAAAAGTTGTTAACCGCTATACTGAAGTTGTAAAAAATTTCAAAAAAATTGTTTCCGGTCGCCGGAGTTTGTTGAATTTCCCATAAAGTTGTTGTTAATTACTATATTGAAGTTGTGAATGGCATTACAAAAGTTGTTAACGGTTATATTGGAGTTGTAAAAATTTTCAACTTCAGTATAACGTTCACAATTACGTTTTTTTGAAAATTTTTACAACTCTAATATAACGGTTAACAACTTTGATATAGCAGTTAACAACAAGTTTTTAAATTCAAAAAGTGACATTTTTATAACTTCAGTAATGCCTTTAACAAACTCAAAAACCTGTTGTTAACCGTTATACTGAAGTTGTTAATAGGGTTACAAAAGTTGTTAACCGTTATACTGAAGTTGTAAAAATTTTCAAAAAAATTGTTTCTGGTCGCCGGAGTTTGTTGAATTTCCCAGAAAAGCTGTTGTTAATTGTTATATTGAAGTTGTGAATGGCATTACAAAAGTTGTTAACGGTTATATTGGAGTTGTAAAAATTTTCAACTTCAGTATAACGTTCACAATTACGTTTTTTTGAAAATTTTTACAACTCTAATATAACGGTTAACAACTTTGATATAGCAGTTAACAACAAGTTTTTAAATTCAAAAAGTGACATTTTTATAACTTCAGTAATGCCTTTAACAAACTCAAAAACCTGTTGTTAACCGTTATACTGAAGTTGTTAATAGGGTTACAAAAGTTGTTAACCGTTATACTGAAGTTGTAAAAATTTTCAAAAAAATTGTTTCTGGTCGCCGGAGTTTGTTGAATTTCCCAGAAAAGCTGTTGTTAATTGTTATATTGAAGTTGTGAATGGCATTACAAAAGTTGTTAACGGTTATATTGAAGTTGTAAAAATTTTCAAAATAATTGTTTCCGGTCACCGGAGTTTGTTGAATTTTCCAGAAAAGCTGTTGTTAATTGCTATACTGAAGTTGTGAATAGCATTACAAAAGTTGTTAACCGTTATATTGAAGTTGTAAAAATTTTCAAAAAAAAAAAATCCGACCGCCGGAGCTCCGGTGACCAATTGTCGGCTGGTCGCCGGAGTTCCGGTGACCGCCGCTGCCGGAGGTCCGGTGACCGGCCGACCAGTAGGGGCTGTAATATTTTAAAAATAATATTTAAAATGAAGGGCAATGTGGTCTTTTCCTTTTACATAATAATCCCAATTTGGTCTCATGGTACCAAAATGGGATTTGTGGAATTGGGCGGACGTTTCTGGGCTTTTGGAGTTGGAGGTGCATTTTTCTGTCTTTTTCCCTTTAATTTATAAAACTTTTCTGTTAATTTTTCTTAAATTGCTAAAAATTAAATTAAGCTACTTTCTTCTTTTTTGTATTCCCTAACTTAAAAATTAGTTCTTTTTTGAAAAATTATTTTTATTTGTCATTTTACTCCATTCAACAAATCATTAACTCATTCTTTTTGAAAAAAAACAAGTATGTTGATGGCATAATAATTCATATACATATTATTTATATAATACATAATTGCTGGTCAAATGTGTGTGGTTCTGCTTGGTTAAAGTGTGGGTGGGTAGGTGAGGAGCTTCTATAACCTAGCATGCCATTTGGTTTGGTGCCCCTAATTGGTTTTTGGGCATTTGGTACGCATGAATATGGTGGATGGCTAAAGTATTTTAAATTCTAAGTAAGCAATATTTTGTTTATATTAGAAGGGCTCAACGAAAACCTTCACTTTTCACTCGTGTAATTTTTACAGAATCAGGGTTAGTTTACTCTGTTTTTGTGCCCGTTACTGATATATGTTAATGTAGTTGTCATTATTTCTGGGAATCACTCCCCTGAAATAGTTCACACCGGAGCTTTCTTTGAGCAAAACCTTCATGATCGATCATTTGCAGGCTGCTTTGTTTTCCATCTCAATCTGACTTCAAACTCAAGGCCTTTATTCCCTCTCTCTCTCTCTCTCTCTCTCTCTCTCTCTCTCTCTCTCTCTCTCTCTCTCTCTCTCTCTCGGAAAGACAAGAACAGAGCTTGAAGAGTAAAACTGCTAAAACGAACAATCTAAGAGAAAACAAAACAGTTCGCCCTAGCAGCAAAACCTCCCTGATGGGTAGTCAGGTCCTGGTCATATCATGATCATTCCTTGCGAGAGAATCAGCTCATATCAATGGGTTTCTGTACGAATGAACGATCTCCAGATCCCAGCTAGAAAAGAGGAGCGACCTCACTTCATCTGCTATAGTTTTCAGAGTATGATTAGAACCGTTGTCAACCAACATTAAATGAACAGCCTCCAAGGAATCTGTGTGGAGTTTGATTTCTTCTAATCCATTATGTGCAGAATAATGCCATTGAACTCCTTTTGTCAAACTTGGTGGACCTGATAGTTTGAATTGTCCCATACAATCTCACAGAGAATTTTTGTGGCTTTCTTGCATAGGCTCTCTTTTGCTTGTCTGTGTTCCATCTACTTTCTCTGTGGCTATTTTCCTTTTTCTGTCAAATGGTGTTAACTGTATCATGTCTTTCTTATAAGACACAGTGGGTGCCCCATAGCATCATGACAATGGTTTCATTGATTTGGCAGACACTTTCAAAATCACAATATCATGGAAAATTTCTGAGCTGGGGGGGAAAAAAAAAAAGAAAGTGCAGGACTTAAGTTATAACTGTACTAGTTTTAACTGACTAAATGCCATACTGAAACAGGTTTAAAAAACATACTGAAAGAAGTATGTCTCAATTAAATGTTAATAGTGACTGGAATAGAGAATTTATTTGGACGGCCTTTCTTTGGGAGGCTCTAACACAGGATTCAGAGGTTCTTGCAGCTCTGGATTGATGGGAAAGAGACTACATTGTGCATGTTGTGCCATCAATTGGTCCACAAGTACCAAGGCTACCATGGCTTCTACAATAGGCGCGGCTACAAAATACCATGAATAAAAGAGAAAGAATGAGCACAAATTGATGGTGATCACGAACTATGTTCCATCATATACCTCTTGGGACAACACAAAGGTTCATGGTGATCACGAACTATGAGATCTGTCTCTTTCTTGTCTCTAGTCAGTGTATGTTGCCTTTTCTGCATATCAAAACTGTTCATGACAATGCAAGCAAGAACAGACATACTTCTAGAGCAAATTAAATTAGTACGTGTTACAAACACAAATACGAAGGGGACCCTCCATGGGTAGCCCTTTCCAAGGTCATTAGGTACTCTCACTTGAAGACTGACCCATTCGGTAGGAAAGCCCATTAAGCTTACAAATCATACTTTACTTGTGAAGCTCCCTGGTATAAGACTCATAACAGTACCATGGCAAGGTTTTAATGACTATTCATAATCCTCATTTTATATGATACTATAAGCTTCCTCATAAGGTGTGAGGTTATTTACTTGAATGCTTAACATGCTTATCCACAAACCTTCAAAAGAAGAGAGGTATAGGACTTACTCTAATGGTAGGTGTTGGCTTGAAGGCGATTCTCATGTTTATGATATCTCCATTGGAAATTCCACCCTGATTGTCAATATGCATAGAGCATATATTATCAGAAAATCATCAAACTGCTCCCCAGAAACATCTGAAGAAATTACAAGACAACAAAATACCTGAATCCCACCAGAGCGATTTGTCTTTGTCCTCATCTCTCCACAACTGTCTATATAGAATTCATCATTGTGCTCACTTCCAGTCAAAAAAAGTGCCTACAATAGTCTCATTAACTGAGCCATCAGAACACATCCATGATGCCAATGAGGAGTTTTGTAGGGTTCTTTCTGTTTACTGCTTGTTACTGTTTGATTTCGTTTTGACTGTGTTGGTTACTATGTATTAGAATTTTACTCATTCTCATTGAATGAGGCAGGATTTTTCTTGCTATGTTATGATATTTTGGTGGAGATTCTATCAGAAACTTGCTTTTTCTTTTTTCAATGAA